CGCCCACCGCTCAGAAGCCTTCAGCGGCCCAGGGCGTTGCGCAAGCCCCCTTATTCTGCCTCGCTTAGGCGGGCGGTGGGCTGGGGCGAGGCGGACCCCCCGCACTGGATTTGCTTAAGAAGGGGAGGAAGCTGCAGCTTGTTACGAAAGGGCCGTCCGCTGCGGGAGCCAGGCGCTCCTACCCACGTTGGGACACTGGCATCGCTGGGACGTTGGGATCGAGAGGGCGCGCTCCGAAAATCTAGAGGGGGGGAGGAGAGGATGCTAGTTTGCGATTCCCGTCCTCCTGCACTGACCACGCTCTGCGCTGGACAGGTATGAGCCGAAGCTCAACATCTGGAGGCCAGACTGCCCCCCAGTTTTACTCCGGGGTGGGGAGAACAGAGGCAGGAAATTTGACTCGCGGGAAGGAACTGCGCCTAACGATGAAATGGGGCATGCCTAGTTTCTTAATTGCAATCTTCTGTTTTTAGCCACAAAAGGGGCCTGGATCCTGAACGGTGAGAATTGCACCCTGAAAATAACACTAAGGTGACATCCTGTTAGAAGTGTGGTGCAATCATTACTATGTGTTAAAAAAATTCTTTGGTATTAAAGATGCCCTGATTATAATGACGCGTGCACAGCTTGTAAAACACATGGTGACCTTTCATTAATGAAGGGATTTGACTAAGTCCATTAAAAATAATGCCATTTAATCACGTTTTTAAAATGTGGGCAATTTTTTAAAAAATAAGTCATACATTCAATGCATACGCTCAAAAAGAAAATAGCCGGACAATATTGTCTGACAACGGTTATATCAAAATTAACAGATGTCATTGCTTTTCTTCATACAGAGCATTATTGTTGAAAGAAATAATAAAGTGACTAATTAGTCAAATAAGGGAATTAATATTCTTCCTCATTTTCCCATGCCCATGACCAAAACTGCATTTTATTTAGTCAATACATTTAGTTTACACCCTGCCTCTGGAAGCTTAAGACAACATACGTGTCCCTCTCTCCTCCAATCTCTTCTGCAACAACAACCCTGTTAGGTAGGTTGGCTGAGAAATTTGCCTGGCCCGAAGTCACCCAGTTAGATTGCATAGACGAGGGTGGATCCCAACCTGGATCTCCTTTCCCATAGTCAAAAAACACTTTAAACATTGCACCATGCTGGTAATGCATTGGAAAGAGAGCAAATTAAAAATCTTAGTAGCATATGAGAGTGGGGTGGCATGCACCCTAAAAAATTATTATTATAAGACATGACACTGAAAAGGGGGGAAAAGAATAGAGGAGAGAAAAAGAAGCTTGGGTATGAATACCCAGTTAACACCCCCACTTTAATTAACAATTTGCACTTGATCTCTGATGTAATGCCGGGGGGGGAAATCACACTGATTTGTTAAAAAAGTATTAACTACAGCCAATATGGTTACTGCCCATTAATTTCATACGTTTTCCCTTTTGTCGTACTGAAAAATTAATTTGATAGAACCTTTTGGAAAGATTCTGGAGATACCACTGCCAAGGATTTAGAAGAAACATTTATTACTCTGAGGCCTTAGCATATATGCCCTCTAATGAGCTCAGTTGATTCATTCTCAATTCTTTATGAGATTCCTTTAGCCTTTTGGAACTGTTTTGCCCAGTTCAAATTGAATTCATCTCAGAATTCATTTATTTTTGAGTGCAGGGAGGTTCACTTGTAAGATGTCAGATTGCAGTCTTAAAGACCTACGTGGAAATAGCCCCCATTAAGATGAACAAGAACTTGGAATACATGTGGTTAGGCTTACACTGTTCAGCACTTATTTGCATGCCAATGTTTAATTACATTAGCGGCAACAAACTGCCTTCTGGCGAAATTAAAGAACTACTTCATCTCTTGGAGCTTCCAGAATTAGCTGCTATAAAGACTTTTATAGCATCCATAAATTGAATGCACACGTGTAAAAATGGCATTTCATCACTCAATAAGAAAGCAGTAGAAATCACTCTTTCTGTTACAGCTTTTGTAGCCTCTCTAAATCTTCTTTCAGGAGTTCAACAGCACCAGGAATATATCACCTAAAACTACATCTGATCATTCATCTCCCCTGGCTCTTCAAAGTGGTAAATAAATCAAGCAATTAATATGGGGAATGTAACTCCAGAACAGAGAAGTAGCCATGAAGATCAGCTGAGCCCTGCAATCAAAGATTGGGGGCAGTTTTGTTACTCTGAACACAAAGCTTTTTACAGTGGCATGATTACATTTAGATGCAGAGCGTCAAGCAATAAGGCATGTGTGGAAAGAACAAAGAATCCTGTGGTCTGCTACAACACTAGAAGACCTTGGCAGCGAGTAGTGAAATACAAACAATAATGCTTGGAACTCTAACATTTTGCACTTCTAAGGTTCTGTTTTCCTTCGACAGAGTTATTTTGCTCTTTAGGTAGAACATTCATTTATTCATTTGATTTACTTAGTCCCATACACCTTGAATAGTCTCCTATTGCTTAAATCCAAGTGAATTATACTAGAATGGAAAAAACGTAACCTGCAGAAGGAGTATGCATGGAAAGCTAATAATAACAAATCAGAGGTCTGAGGTAGTTCCATATTATTATATGAATCCTTTTTCCCTTCTTTTAGTTCATTCCAGTTGCACACTCTCAGAAGCCTTAGTTCCCTGTTCCTCTCCAATTCCTTTTAAAAAAATATTTAAGGACCTGTACAATTGCTGGCTTCAGATTTCTTCAGCCTGGGAAACAGGAGACCTGGATCTGGACCAAGCTTCCTGCCTTCAAAGGGGCATTTTCTGCCATGGTAGCGAGGAAGAAAGTTCAAGTTCTTTAGAGATCTTTCTGTGGGAGAAACACCCAACCTTGAGAGAAGCTTGTCAGACATGGCTGGGACCACCGGTTGCAGCAGGAGCCCATATACCCGAAGACATTCCAGGCTGACATGGAGAATGGTCTCTTGCCACTGCCGCTGTGCTGGATCCTCAGGGCAGAGTTTCCATGGCCTGTGCCTCTGGATGAAGCCGTTGGTCTGTCTCACACATTCCATAATGGATTCCAGAGCCTTGTAGATCTGGAAGCGATCAAAAGAGGTGCTCACTTTCAGAGGCAGGCTCTCTACCAAGGACACCAGCTTGTAGTCCTCCGCTGAAGCCTGGCCAGATCTAGTCTGAGTCCCCCTGTCCCTAGGGAAGCACGCCTCTGAGAAGATGGGATAAGTCCCACTGGGATTCAGGGCAGGGGCCGTGCACCGGTTAAGGAGCCCCCCTAAGGCATCGGCCAGCTCCGAGTTGAGCAGCTTAATCACTTTCTCATCATAGTAATCACAATCCCATTCTGGGACACCCTGTCTCAGCAGGAAGTACCGAAAACCATCCAGCGTGTAATGCTGGAAGCAGTCCTTTGGGGCAATGACATTCCCCAAGCTCTTGGACATCTTCTGTCCTTGCACCGTCCAATGAGAGTGGACCTGGATCTGCAGGGGGGGCTCCAGGCCGGCAGCCATCAGCAGGGCAGGCCAGTAGATGGCATGGAACTTGAGGATGTCTTTGCCCACAATGTGGCAAGCGGTGGGCCACCAGGCCTGGTGCTCCTCAGGGTAACCTACAGCCGTCAGGTAGTTCACCAGAGCATCCACCCAGACATAGATGGTTTGTGTTGAGTCCCCAGGGACAGGGATACCCCAATGCAGCCGGTTTCGGTCACGCGATACAGAGAGATCAGGTAGGTCCTCTTCCAGCCACTGGAGTACCTGCTGATAGTAGGGCTCAGGGTTTATGGCATCCTTATTCTCACAGAGCCATCGCTGCAATGGCTCCCGGAACTCAGACAGCTTGAACATGTAGTTTTCCTCTCTAGTCCAGTGCACCTAAGATGTGAGAGAGAAGTTATCACAAGGTTTTTCCTGGTTTCATCCACTAGCCTCTCCGATACAAATATATTTATCGAAGCATTTATATTAATGTCTCATTTTCCTTCTTTAGAACTGAAAGTAGCATGCATGCATCAAAAAACTTGCCTCCCAAGTTAGCAGCATCCTATGCCTTCAGTCTCCCCTTCCCCAGTTTTCTTGGGCTGTATCTTTTCTTCCTGCTGTTAGCCCTTTCTATTCTGGCAGTCCTTGCTTATCTGGTGAATCAGTCTGATGTAGTGCTTAAGGTGCTGGCTTAGAAACCAGGAGACTGAGAGTCCTAGGCCTCCCACAGGCGCAAAAGCCAGCTGGGTGACTTTGGACCGGTCACTCTCTCTCAGCCAAACCCACCTCACAGAGTTGTTGTTGTAGGGAAAATAGGAGGCAGGAGTATTAGGTATGTTCACCGCCTTGAGTTGACATACAAATGTAAGTGGGATAAACATCTAATAATAATAGTATGGAGACTCTGGGGATTATTTAAATGTGTCTTCTCCAATCTAGGCATTCTGTAGACATGTGGACACATTACACTATGCTATCTAGTATTTGCACATCATTAGTTGGGTATGCACAGAATGTTAAAGCACAACGCAGAACAGCTGGATTCATTCACACAACTTAAGCCAAGACCAAAGACACTCAGAGACTCGCCAGGGTAGACCATACTGTACCTGGTGCCCACTCTCTAAGGAAACCATCTGCTTGCTCCCTTGGGCATCAGGGCGCTCCGTCACCTGGGACGCTGCCAAAAAGCTCTCCTCTGCTGTGCAATACCACCCCTCATAGTGAGCGCGATAGAGCGAGCCCCCACCCTGCAAGGCAGCCCAGAAGCATTCGACAGCCCGACGGTGCCGTAGCTCTGTGGTGCGGATAAAATCGGTGTAGGAGATGCCGGCCTGTGCAAAGAGCTCCCGGAATTCAGCTGATACACGGTCACAGAACTCTTTTGGGGAAATACCTGCAGCTGTGGCTGCCGTCTGAATTTTCAAGCCATGCTCATCTGTTCCTGGGAAGGAAAAAAAGGACAGTACAACTGGTTAAGGAGCCAAGAGGCAGCCTTCTCCAACCCACTGCCCCACATGCTGGGAGGGCTACTCCTAGAGTCATATATATGAGATGGGCAGCTATATAAATTTGAAGGGTACATAAATAAATGCATTCGTTCCCTGCCATCAGGGCCATTCCTGCCAACAGTACTCCCAGAACATTTAGAGGAGCCCTGCTTGTGGAAGCTTACAATGAATGAAAACTTTGGGAGTTACATCACACTAATCCATGGTTTGTTGAGCAAATCCTAGTAGCCTAGTTCCCATGTAATATAATCAGCCAGGGTGGAAGACCTCATCAGAAAAGTGAGGTTACAAAAAGAGGCATTAGCCAATTTGCTGGTTGAAATGGGACACTTTGGAAAAGCAAACCCTTGTATTTCTGCTGTCCCAAGCATTCGGGGCCAAAAATCAGGGGAGCAATGCCAGGGTGTTGTGAATGGATTTTCATCAATCAACTTTGCTTCCACCTACAAAAGATCTATTGCAATGAACAGAAGCATGCAGATTTGTTTGTGCCAACAGTCCAGCATTGGACATATGGCACTGTATTGCAATAATATTATGCTGACTCAGTGTTTTTCAACCTGGGCAACTTTAAGCTGTGTGGACTTCAACTCCCAGAATTCTCCAGCCCACACATCTTAAACTTGGCCAGGTTGCAAAACACTGCAGCAACTCCTGGACCAAGTGTGGCTGGAAATACAAAAGGAAAGGAAGGTTTGCTTCTCCATTTATAGCACCTTTTATGCAGCCTTGCTAAAAAGAAACCTCCCTATTTCTGCAAGCCCCGCACTTCCACTTGCAAAAACAAAACCATGTACAAAGTTCCTGGATTCCCTAAAGCGGTGTTTCTCAAGCTGGGCGACTTTAAGATGTGTGGACTCTGGGAGTTGAAGTCCACACATCTTAAAGTCGC